CTGTGATATATTATAAATACCAGAGAAGGCCTGAGAGAATGTGACTGTGGGGTTGAGGGGTGGGTCTCTCCAAACACACTTGTTAGACACATCTGGCAAAAAAAATGATATAGTGCAAAAAACAAATTCCTTCAAGCAGTATCTTTAAGGAAAAGGAAAAAAAAAGAGGATCAGATGTAATTTAAAAGCAAATAAATTTGTGCATGGAGGATTGTGGGAGTGAGAGAGGGGGAGTTTTGATGGTGAAGAGGGAGGGGCTAGGAAAACCACTAAACATTTATTTTGCCTTAAGTGTTGATAGGGGAGATCTGGGTGATAATAAGTACTTGTTGTTTTGTTTGACCCCTTCTTGGTCATGAAATACAAATGCAGACTTAAAGAAGAAAAAAAAAATTAGGTTGAGACTGTATTCAGATAGCAAATGCATGCTAGAAAAAATAAATCCAAGTTGAGGACCAGCCCAAAAGCCAGAAAGTCTTCCTGGGTCTATGCGATTGTGATTATTCTACCTCGAGCCCAAAGGCATCACAGTTAAAATGTTCCCTCATTATGTTCTCCTCCCAGCATTGACTAGTTTTGATATACTGGCGACTGTAAGCATGCTTTCCCTCCAAAGAAGAAAATAGGCACTAGTGGCTATTCCACTTATAATATTCGCAGCCCAACTGATTTCCTTCGGTGAAAGTACTACACACATATGTGTGTGTGAATACCACCCTCAGAATTTTGATGTGGGGCTCATTTTATGGCAGTTTACAAAAGCTGGAGTGAAATAAATTGAAGATTTCCAAGCTTACAGTTGAAAAAACTTGTAAAAACAATCCCAATAAAGAATGCATCCACCTTCCCTCACAGTCACTGAGAAGCCCTGTTGGGGGAATTGGGTGGGGGGACAAAAAAAGTCCCAAAACAACAAAGTCTCTGGTTTGGGATAGTTGGGGATTGAGGACTTTAGGTGATTCCTCTGGTTGTGGACACCTGCTTCCCATGGACTACATCTAGATGTAGCAGTATTAGGATTTGAAGGATGAATATAGTCAATGATAGCTTTTCTGTGATCTTCCAGGAGATCTAGCAAGGGAAATTTGAGACAGAGAATTTAAAAGCAAGAGAAAACCCTGGAGCCTTAAGCTGATAGCCACGTGGTATTTACAAGCAGTTTTTTTTTTTTTAAATGTTGCTATTGTTTACTCTTGACACTTTTTGTTGCTTCCTCAGCTCCAAGGGCCCTGAAGATCCTTGGAGATAGGACCCAAAGGATCAGTCTAATCCCTCTTCCCAGGTATTTTAAAGTTCAAAATAAGGTATCCTGCCACATCTATTCAAGTGAATCACAACCTCGCAGAACTGCTCTCTTGTCCCCTATGCATAGCTGTCATGCATAGGAAAAGGACCGAAGAGGTCACTCTAGCCTCCATTCACAGTATTTTAAGGTTCAAAACAAGTTATCCCACCATATCTATCCAAGTGAATCACAACCTTCCAAAACTTGTTCTCCTGCCCCTGTACATGACAGACAGTTACTTCTGGGAAATGCAATCTGGAAAGCTTCAGCTGGTGCATTTCAATCAGGTTCTAATTTCTGAAATTTTATTTTATTTTGGCAAAGATCTGGGGGCAGGATAACAGCCAGAAAAGCTGGCTGTCACAGAACAGAGATTTTTTTTAAAATGTGTCTGATTTTGCAGGTGGTATATTTAAATGCTTTCTATCCCTATACCTTTTTTCTTCCTTCTCCTTCCTCCCAAAGGGCAAATAGTAGGAAATGGAAATGGTAAATATTACCCATACCATGAATTATTAAGGAGTGACTTCCACAGAGGGGAAAATTTTTTAAAAATATATTTGAGCCATTAAAAATAGTTCTCTTGTTTAAATGACATTGGATTAATATCCTTCCTTTTAGCTTAGTTTTTACAGTGGCATTGCAATATTGATGTCCTTAATACATTGAATACACACATCTAAAGGTCCAATTTATTTTCCCCCTTCTATGCAAAAACTCCACATGGCTATCCTGGAAGTTGAACCAAAGTGAAATCCTTCTTATAAAATCTGCTTTGCCTTCTAGGCTTGTAGAGAATTTTAAAAAGAGGAATCAGTGCAATTAAACATGTATATGAGTTTCCTTTTATCTCCTCAGAATCAAGCCATCCAAAAGGAGGGAGGAGAAGATGGCGGAGAGGTAGTGAAAGATGGGGGTGAACGCGGGCAGTCACTAATAGAATCAAGATGAAGTGATGAAATAGGGAAGATTTGTTATGATCTTTGCTGGGGAAAGATATTGGGGGGGGAAAGGAAAAGATTTGTTTTATGAGATTCATTTCGAGTCTGGGAATATTTTATAAGATGCTACTTTGTCATGGAATCCAGACATCTATTTTTCTGGACATAATACCCTTCACTAGCGGGCCAATGGGCTGTGCCAATTAGTCATTCAAGGGGCAGGAGGCTCTGTGGGATTTGTACACAATGAATGAGAGGCTGGTAGCCATGAGCAGCATTATGATTTAAGGGTACCTTATCTTTGACTTATATTCAAATGGCAGGGGGAAAAGACACATAAGCAGAAGAGAAAAAGAATCTTCAATATTTTCCATTCTGCAAAGTTAATTGTGGGCCCCAGAGCAAAGTATGTTTGAAAAGACCGTTATACGAAATAACATGCCGGCACTCTCCTTGCATGGTTGGGATTTCCCAACATGTTAGAAAAATACCAATTTAAGCGAAGAAAAGGAAGAAATTATTGTTCCAATGGGAACAACTCAGAAAATACTGCTTTAAATACCCAATCTTAATTTCCTTCCCTCTCTCATTTAAATGTATATATGTGTGTGTGAATACATATATGCACACACGTATACACATATATACACGTAGGCATATATATGCACCAGATCTACACATATATATGTGAATATGTATGTATATACATATATGTATATATGTATACAGTAAGATTAGTTCTTTAAGTAGGCCCTTACAAATCATCCTTGTACCTTTTCATCAGCTGGTAAGAAAGGCATTTTCAATGGATACTTTGTCTCAATTGTTTCCCCCAAATAATCACATCTAGTTCCCTGTGCCAATTGGGGCTGGTTGTAATTCACAGCTGAGGCTTCAGCTTAAAAGAATATAGCTTTAAAGTAACATACGTAGCAACTATCAGGTTCTTCAGCAATTCTAATGTTCCAACAAATGAAATCAGGAGTAAGAGAGTGCCACCACCAGGTATCAATGAGCCCAGCTCTGGGAGAGGTCAAGAACAAATTAACAAAGGGTGTCACTGGTACAAGGAAAGACAGAGGAATTACTAAAACATTTCAGACACTCTGATGAGTACCAAAGGGCCCTTGTTCTGCCACATTTAAATGAGAACCTGACAAGACCACAAATGACAATAGGAAGTAAATAATTAATGATTACTCTTTATAGAAAAAAAAAAAGTTATGGGTGTTATTTTTTTTAAGAGCCTTGCATTGAATTGTCAGTTTAAAATTTCAATTTCTTTGTAGACCCTTAATAATAGTAGCATTTCAAGAGGCAAGAGCAGCTATTGCTCAGGAGAGGACCCTCATGGATGTTGGCAGCCCAAGGCCTATTACCACGAGTGATGTGATGTGTCCATGCACTCATGCTGAAGGCCGCAAACAGAAATGAGATTCTAGGGTGACTACATTTTCATCTAACGCACTGGCTGGATGCGCTGCAGAGGAATACAGCTGAGGTTCAAGTACACTCACACTCCCCGCTATCACCTGGAAAGGATGCTCCACACATTCAAATGCAATCCCATGGAATTCCGGATGGAATGGCCAAAAAAGGATTCAAATGTAGAAGTAGACAACTACAAGATTGTCAGCAAGCAGTGCTCCAGGAATTGTTTCTAACTTGTGTTAAGTTTTACATCTTTGGAATAAAATTAATTTTTTTTTCTTAAAAAATACCCTCCGACTAATGTTTATATCATTGCCTCCAGCAGATGGGTAGAATTTCTGTGTGTGTGTGTGTTGATTTTTTTTTCTCTGTTGTTGAGTTTTTGTTTGTTTTGGTCCACGACTCAAAAGAAATTCTATGGGCCAGACCTCAAAATCCCTCCCCCCACCCCCCAAATGTCCAAATGGCAAGCCCACAGCATTTGGCTAAAGAGTTTACTCACAGTGGAGGAATTTCAACATCTCAATGAAATCAAAAGTTACAGAAAGCTGAGGAAAATCAAGTGCCAAAGATCTTGATGACTACTCATGTTGTTTATGTTTAATTATTATTATTATTATTATTATTATTATTATTATTATTTTAAAGAGAGTTCAGTTTTGCATCCCAAATATGTCTGGGGTGGCATTTTAACAGTCAATGAGTCAAAACAGTCAAAAGGAGGGCAGGAGGGTAGCCGGCTGGTATGAAGGAACAGCGACCATCGGTGGACCAAATGACATTTTTGTTTTCTATCTGTATCTTGAAGGGATGGTCCGAGAATATACAAAATATACAACCTGTCCTAGTGACCACCCCACCTGCTTGCATAGGCCATTTAATGGCCCTAAAGGCAGTCTTTGGAGTTGAGATCAGTGCCAACTAGCTAAGATACAGGTATACAGATATCAATTTTTACGTGTGTGATGAAAAAGTGAGGAATCTAAACCTCCTTTGAGCTCCAAAGGTCAAATTTAGCAATGAGCAGGATTTAGCTTGGAGAATAATTTAGGGGCCTCTGCTAGTCCTGGATGCTCTAAGTCCCAGGTCATGCTGGGCCCACTGCCTGAAATGAGCAATACTTCTCTCCCTTAGACAGAAAAACCTCGACACTTTGCATAAATGCCAGCCCTTCATTCCCACAATGGACTCTTAAAGTGTATTTTTTTTCCCCTTTTAACAAGCAGGATAATGTGAGCTCAGTGGAAATGAGAAAGAAGGATTGACTGATGCTGTGTGAAGCCTCTGGACTTGGGAGGCATCCTCATTTTCCCTCCACTCCTGGACGGAGGGGTATTTTTGGCTTTTTTTTTTTTTTTGTCAGGTCATAACCCAAAGTTAGGTTAAAGACACAGATGCCTGTTGAGGCTAGAGACATCTATGCTGTAACTGGTTAGTAGGGTCGCAATAATAACACACAACACAATTTGTTGATCACCATGGGCTGAGGCCAGCACGCCCCCAAGGAGGATATAAGAAGTGTGATGTCACATCTGATTGGCCACTCCGAGATTCGGGCATCCAGGTGATGAGATAGTTCTAGAGGTTTTAGTCCATGGAGAAAAGATAAAACATTTAAGCTTCCAAATAAGCTTTTCAAGTTTTCATTAGCAAAATCAGAGAGATTAAAAAGAAAAAATCTAGCTATGGCAATAAGGTGAGGCCAAAGGTATACACTGTGATTTTTTTTTCAAGGGTTTTATTCTCTTGGCCACTTTGTAGTCATGCTAGAAGTTTCCAGAATCCCTAGTGCATATGGTGTGCAAAAAGTAAGAAAAGAAAATTCCTCCTTCACGAAGTCTACACGAACGCAGGCCAGAAAGTGTAAGGTGTCATTCCACAGTCTACTGCCATTAAGGCCATTGGTACGGACTTGAAAAGATCTCAATAGCTCAGTCCTATGAAGAACCAAAACAGATCAAAAGGTCTGTGAGGAAGTCTGACGCTTTGAATATTGGGATTTTTCTGACACAAAGGACAAATGAACCAAGAGGTTAATTTTGGCTACCAAACTGGGATTTGGTTTTCTAGGTCATTTTTTCCCCCAACCATTTAAAAAGAAGACAAGTTAGTGCTACAAGTATGCAACTTTAAGATGATGTATTCTCCTATCAAGTTGCATTGAGAAGCAAGTTAAATAAGTCCCTCTTACTGCTGCCGTCCACCTGCAGAGAAGTCACATCCATTTTCTTTGAATTCCATTGCCAACAGCGGGATGCAATTCTGATAGCGCTGAAGTAGGCAGCCTTTCTGCCTTGCTGAGAGTTCACCGGGATTCTTCATCATCTTCTACCATCTGGCTAGGGCAAGGCATAAAGAACAGACGTAGATATCTTGAGTATAGTTGAGCGCATGACTGCGTGTGCGTGTGTGCATGTGTGTGTGTGTGTGTGTGTGCGCGCACGTGTGTACACAGAGGTTTATATCTGAGAACTCTCTCTTTTTCTCTTCTGCAAGGCAGCAAAGTTCTGACCAAATTCCAGCCCCCTGTCTAAAGATTCTTCCTTTAGACAATAGCCGGTGCCATGGAGTTCCTCTGGTCATTAGGTTATTTAGATATGTCTCTTCATATGGAGGGCAAGGTGGTCAGACCTGGAAAAACACCTAAGAAAATAAGAAACAACACAAAATGAGTGTACTGTGTGAAAGTGGAGGCCTCCTTCTATCCAGAAGACAAGGATCACCCTCATCTAACAGTAAATAATCTGCGTGTATCATTTACTGGTGAGACCCCAACATTATAGAACTGTGGCCCTAGGATCTCTTGATTTGGTCCCAAAAAGAATACTGGAGATCACCAAGAATCAGTAGTACCAGTAATTCTGATGATAATAATAGCTAACACTGATATAGCATTTTAAGGTTCACAATACCCCTTTTGCATATATCATTGTGATGGATCCTCATAACATCCCTGTGAGGTATGTCTTATTATTACCCCTCATTTGACAGATGAGGGTGAGAGAGGTTAAATCACTTGCCCAGGGTCACATAGATAATACAATTTGAGAAGATATTCCAGACTCCAAGGCCAGTACTCTATCTATGCTCTAACTGCTTTGACAAATGATGGGATTGAGGCCCAGAAAGTTTAAATGACTTGCCCGGAGTGGTAAGTATGAGAGCGACGTTACAAACTTAGGTCCTCTTTCTACCACACCAAGACTCCATTATTTTATTTGACTTTGAAACTATATTTCAAACATATTAAATTTTTGGTTTTTTTCCTAATTTTTATTTATTTTAATTTATGGAATAAAACAAGCATTAACATAACATGGAAATGCTTGTTTTATTCCATAAATTAAAAATAAAATAAATAAAAATTTAGGAAAAAATTCTAAAAATTCAATTTTTGAAAATATATTTCAAATATATTCAATTTTTTTTTCAAATAATTCATCCCTCTAACATAGTGTCATAGGCACTATGAACACAGAATCCACCAGTAGTACCTAAAAAGCCACAGAATATATCCCTGATTAATACTACTCTGATCAACTATAAAGTAAGCTCTTTTTGCCTTTTTTTCTGCAATTCATAATCGGGGGCTGAAGAGTTTCACCAGAGTCAGACTGTTAGAATAGAAGCTGCCACAATGCCTGGCATGAGTAGTTTCCTATTCTCTCATTTGGCCTCCTTTTTGAAAAGGACTCAAGCTTGATAGCTCTCCAGCTTTTGAGAACACTCCCCAAGGCTTTTCTTATCCTGAAAAAGAAGCCCCCCATAGTCAGAAGCACTTAAAAATATGTTAACAAGTTGTTTACAAATGTTCTCTTTCGGCTGGGGCTTCTCTCCCTTTATGCATGTGCTCACATTCCTCATTTTCTTTCTCTGGTCATGCACGCAATCACAAAAACATGTAGAAATTAAGGCACAACTATATCCTATAGATAGCAGATATAGATTAATAGCTATACTAACTCTTAAACCTACTTGTCAGTGCAGATAAGTTTTTAGATAGAGATTTCTTCTTTAATTGAGTAACCAGGGGGTTAGTGAGAAAAAAAAAGCATACCTCCCTCCTTGAGACCACAATGAAATGAAAGTGTGCAAAATCATGGTACACTAAGAACCTCTTTAAGCTAGTATCCTGGCACCTGGCAGGGAATTCTCTTATTATCCACTGTAGACCAACAGCACATGTCTTATTCCTAAATAGATACAAAGCTGGCAACAACCAGTAAAAATAATGACCACCAGATCCTAGATTTTGAGTTGAAAGGGATCTTAAAGATCTCATTAAGCCCAATTCCCTCATTTTACAGAGACCCCAGAGAGATTATATAATTTATCTAAGGTCACACCAATGATAAGTGGCAAAGCTAGGACCTCTGACCCCAAATCAAGTACTCTTCCCAATGTCCTATGCTGTCTCTCCAAATACAGACAAATAATAATAATAATAATAATAATAATAATGATAATGACAAATTGACTATAAGAGATCATAAATTGAGTATACATCAAAACCTGTGAAAAACATTTCCCTATAATATCTCTGTAAAACTAAGATTCGCATGTCCCAAGCCAATATCTGTCACTATTTCAAGCAATAGTTGAATAAATTCTCCACTAAAGTCCTATTCTAATGACTCATCACTGGATGATCAAAGGGCTAAGCCAGCCCCAGTAGGTTCTACTATGCTAGAAGGACTTGGAGTACAAGTCCTGTCTATGGACTGTGTCAGTCAATCAAAGACCAGCTCTGATATCTCTAGATGATATTTTTGACTGTGGTAAACACTTGAAGACTGGAGGGACTGAGATTGGCATTAATAGATGGAATAACCATATTGATGGAATCACAGATTTGAAGAACACATGTAACAGCTAAACAAAAGAATTTGGACAACCCCCTTAGAGTTATTGATAAGGATATTTGACCTGCTTATAAGTTAGCAGAGTAGTATCTCTTTCTAAGTGAGCATGATATTAAGGTGCATAAAAAGAAGGATAGAATGGCAAGAGTATCATGTCATAGGCAGCTAAGTGGCACAATGGATAGATCTCCGGGCCTGGAGTTAAGAAGATCTGAGTTCAAATCCAGCCTCAGACACTTACTAGCTGTGTGACCCTGGGCAAGTCATTTAACCCCATATGCCTCAGTTCCTTATTTGTAAAATGGGGACACACTGGAAAAGTAAATGGCAAACCACTCTAGTAGCTTTGCCAAGAAAACCTGAAATGGCGTTACAAAGAGTTGGGCACAACTGAACGACAATCACTATGTCATTATGTGTAGATCTTAATGGTCCAAGTCTTTGCATATATTGCTGCTGATTGGGTCTTGATAGGTCAGAGTTCAGCAGCTAGATATTGCTTTGCAGCCCACCCACTTCCTCATTTTGTTCTTTGCTTTATTTCTTCCTCCCATCATCCTTGAAAAAGGGAGTCCTATCCTAAAAGATGTTAAAAATCACATAACACCTTTCAGGTTGAAAGTAGAAGGAAGATGATAGGTTTCCAGGGGTCAGGAACCTGCGACCTCAAGACCATACATGGTCTTCTAGGTCCTTGGGCGTGGCCTTTTGACTGAGTCAAAGTTTTACAGAACAAACCCTTTTATTAAGGGGATTTGTTCTGTGAAGTTTGGATTCAGTCAAAGGACTGCACTTGAGGACCTAGAGGGGCCACATGTGGCCTCAAGGTTGCAGGTTCCCCAGCCCTGGAAGCAGACGCCTAGATCCCAGGAGCAAAACTTTGAATAAGGAACATCCTGGAGACCAAAATGAGGACCTAGGGGCAAAGGTGAGAGGTCAAGAAACATGTAAGAAGAACTAAAACAGCGGAGTAAAAGAAGGGGTTTTAGTGGATTATTTCCATTAACATTAAAGTCAAGGCCTGTCAGGAAAAGACCACAAAAGGTAGAAAGATGCAGGAAGTAAGAGTCCAGTAGCTCTAGCTGTGGGCAAAAAATTTTCTCCAACTGTGCAATAGAAACCAATCAGGAAATAAGATTCAATATATGGAAGTTCGCTTTAATGTTCACTTTTCAGAAATGTGTCTACTTTCATCTTTAACCATTCATTCAATGAGAATATACTGAGTGTGCCTAACACTGTGTATTGAGATATCGCTATACAAAAACTGTGTGCTAAGAACATGGAAAGTTCCTGTGAAAAAATAAATCAAGGAAAATCAAACCAAAAAAAAAAAAAGTCTGAAGCATTGGTAGTAGCTTTAATGAAACTTATCTAATTTGTTGTCCAGAGCTATTTATCACTGTTACTTATTCAAATTATAAGCACTGTACAAGAAGGGTTAGACTGGGCCCCTATCTATTGAACTTACTATTCAATAGATCATCAGCATACTTAACCATTATTAACTAGGATCTACTGAACTATATCAATGAAATGGATAGTCCCAGGCCCTATCTCTATCCCTATTCCTACTTACTGAACACAGATGAAAGCACAGCTCCAGACCAAAAAAGAACCTAAACATTGATTAGGAGTAATACGTGATACTGGGTAAGTCTGGAATCCAGAATCACAAAATCAAATCACTCAAAGAAGGTGGGAAATGTATATAGCTGCCAGAAGACTGAGTAGGGAGATTTGTGGTAAAGTCCTGCTTTCAACCTATAATAGCTATGTGAGCTTGGACAAGTCACTGATTTTCTCTGAGTCTCACTTCTGTCATCTGTAAAATGAAGGTGAAAATCCTTGAGCTGCTGCCTACCTCATGGGGACATTAGAAGGAAAGTGCTTTGTAAACTTAAAAAATGCTACATAAGTGTGAGCTGTTTGTTAATAATGATAATATATTATAATTATAACATATATATGTAATATATAATTATAAGATGTATAATTATAACACAATTGTATAATATATAATTATAACATATTATATATAAAATATAAAAGTATTGTATATGCACATGTATATGTATGTATATGTGCATATATACACACAACACATATATACATGTACACACACATATACATATATACACATGCATATACATACACACATAAACACACACACACACACATACATACATACATATACACATATATTTGGCTACAACCAAACTCTGAAATTGTCATTGTTCTTCCTTTGGAAAGAAAAATGGGGCAGGGGGAAAAGGAGTCACATAGTTATGAAAGGCATATGACTGCCAAAACAAATAGCCATCTTAGTGAGCGCCAAAGGGACATAGAGCAGCTGGCATTTCTACCTAACACTAGGTTGGGCTGAAAACTCCAAAGGTCCACTTCTTTCCTCCCAATGCACTGATCACTTCTTGCATTCACTCTGCCAGAAGCAGCCTTCCTGGACTTTTGAAAGCCTGCTGAGTCAGTGGTACAGTAACAGTGGCTATTAGTGCTAATGGGAACAAAGCACTGTTTCCTATCAGCAGTGTCATGCTATGTGAGAGCATTTCTGTAAACAAAGAAGCCTGGTACCTCCCTCTAGCTCTTCCCTCTTGCAGCTGGTAAGAGTGGGAAACATCCCCATCAAACAGTGAGGGGGTTATCAGTTAGAGGTCCAAGAAAACAGCATGGCCTTCCTCCGCCAGGCCACAGCAAAGTCAGAGAATGCTAAGAAGTCAGAGATATCAGAGATGATCAAATCCATCCTCACACATGGCAGTCGAGATACCACCACCACATGCATACTTTTTGCCAAAGAAAACTTCAGTCCTAGCTAGTAACTCAATAGGATGGCATTGCTAAACTGAATACCAGGTTAAAAGTAAGAAAAGGCTCAGATTCCCATTCATTCACACTCTGGTAGGACTGCTGCACTGTGCTGGTATGGGGCATTATGACTGTCTTAAAGGTGAGACTCACTGTGGGAGGTCAGGAATGGTAATCATCCACTTGCCCAGGGCTTTTCTCTCCCACATCTTTGTGCCATATCAGCTCTCTCTCTCTGGTTCCCCATGCCACGGCCCAAATAAATGCTATTCTTAGCACATAAATGCTGATTGAAAAGGAAGGTGGCTTGTCAATTCAAACTAACCCTGGCGTTTGCGTGACCTGAAACCTTAGCACAAAAGTTTCAGCTCCTAGATTCAAGGGTACCTATTGTTTGTCCGTGTCACAGTTACTTTCCTTGTTGGAAATTTGATCTATTTATACTTTTCCGAAACATCAAGAGAAAAGCAATTCTCATCATCCAACCAGTTAGCTGCAAATTTCCAGGTCCAGAAACTAAAGTATGTTGATATCAAAGACACAAAATATAAGGGACTACCAATATATCCATCTTCCTCTCCCCTTCCACAAACATGATTACAATGGTTTGATCCATTTTTCCTCAATGTATGAATGGACACATTAGGTTCTGACACATTTGTCATGAAAAAGTTGTAAATTCCCCAATAGGTCAGGTGATGGGAGTTAGAAATATTGCATATAGCAAAGATCCAAAAATGCTTCCTTCTCTTCCAAGTACTGCATCAACCAACGTGGCCATGCCCACACTATCTCTAATTTAGAGTCTGTACTACTCTTCAGAAGTAGGCAGCTTTCTTTTGGGACTTGACTACCCCTTAACTAAAAATATCTGAAAGTTCCCAAAGAATTTGTCTTCCTGGGGCACATAAGAGTTTTGTATAACATATAGAGATGCCTAAAGATTCCAGTCCCCTTACAAGGAACACTTCAGTTAGCCAAGGGGGAAGATTTAACTAGTCTAGAGATGGGAATGAGAGACATTAGATAGGAGGATATAATGAGCCCAAAGGACCCTCAGTAGGAAGACAGCACTTGGCTGATGTCAACTCAATGAGTTTGGGAGCAATGCATATAAGGGGAAAAGAGAACCCCTTCCTAATGTAAGAAGGACAGACTCTTAGGGAATGAGCAATAACAGCTTGCTACTATACTTCCTTATGTCCTGGTGTGGGGAGTTTGTTTCTTTGGTTTTAGAAGGCACGGTTTTTAGCTCATTCTTAAAGAGTGATGATAAAATGGCAAACAGCCCCTTTCAGAAGGAGAAGAAAGGTGGGGGGAGGGAAGGAGCTGCCAGAAACAAAGAAACATGAATTCTCTTTTATAAATATCTACAGAATGAGGAAAAGGTCTCCTTTTGCAGCCACAGACCTGGCTTATCCTGTGTTTCGTTTGAAACAAACAAAAACTAATACAGGGACAACAGGCAGAGAGGAAGCCCTGGTGAAAGGAGACCAGAGTGGGACATCAGGGCTTGGGAAGACAGGATGCGAAACTGATCGCATTTCCTTCCTTATGAAAGCTGGGCCTTTGTTTACATCCTGTCCACCCCCTCCTGCCATTCTGCATGCTCTCAGCCAACTCAGAGAGCCCAGAGGCTTTCAGTTAGCCTTTATTGTATTATAAGCATTTTTCTTATCACAACCGAGACCCTTAGTATTGCATTAAAAAGACAGTTAATTTTCTTAAGCTTCTTTTTTAATACAGAAATAGGATTAGAAGGATAACACGCTCAGATGCAAGCACGTTATTTGATTATGTCTAAACCTAATCCTGGCTTCACCTTGGTCTGCACAGTCTCCAGTTTGGGGGTTTTATTGGTTGATAATGTCAGCGCTGTCAGATATTATTACTTGGGCAGTGTCTGCTGTTACTCGTCCTTTCCTCCACTCCAAATTCTAAGGACTTGAAATTAAATTTTAGGATAATTCTTTGAAACCTCTCCATCTTGCAACTCTTGGACCTTTCTCCCTTATTTCATAAGATCAATAGATTTAGAGTCAGAAGGGACCTCAGAGGCCACCTAATACAATCCCTTCATCTTAAAGATAAGGAAACTGAGACTCGGGACTTGCCCAGTCACTTAGGTAGTTTATCCAAGGTGGGATTTGAACCCGGGTCCTCTGACTCCAAAGGCTCTGACTATTTTTCCTGGAAGAAAAGGAATAACCTCAGAAAACATAGACCCGACTTCACAAGAGGCAGGAAAACAGAGCAGGAATCTGAAATCCCATTTATTCAGGTTTCAAGGTCTAGTTGAAGTTTTACCTCTTTCACTGATACCAGATGTGGTCCCTTCCTCTTTGAGTTTTCATAGTCCCAGGTGTCCCAAAAGCCTTAGTGCCATTTCAAGCTATTCAAGTTTAAAACATCACAAAGACTTTGGGACTCCCTTTACTTTGTTTGCATTTCTGCTGTGCATTTTCACACTGTATTTTGTGTTAAACATTTTTGAGTGCTCGGCTCACTAGAAATTTCTAAATTGCAAGCTTCTTGAGATCTGATTCCCTGTCCTATTCATCAGTTTTAAACTCTTAGTTCCTAACACTGCCTTCCACATAACAGGCACTCAATGAGAGCTCATTAAATCAAATTTTAGATTTGTTTCTTCTGTATCCCCAGTGCCTATATAGTAGGTGCTTAATAAATATTTACTGAGAAGAATTATTAAGGAGTTGCTTTTAGAGCAAATCATTTTGAACTTACAATTTATCTCTAAGAAAAAGAATATAAGATTATAAGAATCTCATGACTAAGAGAAATAAGAGAGGGGAGGGAGCGGTATATCAAACCAGGACTTGTTTCCTTCCTTAGCATAAGACAGAGTGACTAGGGAACTCATAACTGGCAGAGTAAAACTAAAATCCCAAACCATGCTTTCAGTTTTCCTATTTAAAACTTCCTTGGGAGAGCACCTCTATGGTCCCAATTCTCTTAATGGAAAAGCCAAAGATAAACATGCTTTGGAAAAGACTTTGTTCAATCCTCCAGGCTGATCAATCCGTACTCTTCTCCCCTCCATCAACTCCCCAAATCATCTCATAAACCACTTTACCTGTCGCAGTGGTTGCATTTAAAGGGCTTTGCACCCGTGTGTTTCCTGTAATGCCTCGTAAGCTCGTCACTTCGTGCAAAACGCCACTCACACCCTTCCCACGAACACTTATAAGGCTTCTCACCTGCAGGAAGAGACGAAATGAGGCCTGTTAGTAAATGGTAGCATACCTGCTCCATCACACTTCACTACCTCGATGGTCAACATCTTGGAAAGAGTTACTTTAAAGGGTAAAACTCCCTGGCCACACAGGTGGCAAAAATTGAGAGATTAAAATGGACCTCAATAGTGTTCTTACAAGGTCCTTGCATCTGGAAATCTTATTTTCGTTCCCAGAGTTAGGGCATTTCCTTCAACTTGTAAAGCAGTCATTTCTTATCCCAGGAGGATGCTCACCCCCACGGCCTGAGCAGGAAGGAAATGTGCTATTTTCATTAGAACCACAAATGCTTCTAATTCTATTTTCCACCAGAACCTACGGTAATTCGCCATTTCTGGCTTCTTGGTTTCCCCCTCCTCCTCTCTTTTTTCCCTATCACCACAAACTGTAGGCCTGTGGCTGATTTATAAGGACAGCAACTCACGACTCCAAGACTGACTGTTCCTTCCAGTAAATGCAGGTGAATAAATAGGCAAGAGAAAGAACCACAATCTTAGGGAGGAGAAGGCAAATAAAATATGTGAAAAGTCTCAGGCATCCGTGTTATCTTCAGCCATAAAAACCCTGCTTAGCATAAGCTGTGACGTATACCGCTACCAGGGTTTTCAAGCCAATTTGTGAGGCGTGTTTTAGCCAAAATGAAGCTCTTACATCAGTAAGTCTGAAATTATGGCATTGAGGATTCCCTGAAGGACCTTTACATATAGCAACTACAGACCAAGAAACACAGTACAAGGGAGAAGAGGATTTTTCTTTAAAGTCTTCTTACCTATCATGTCTATTGCCAAATATGACACACATTCACACTTTTCACCCTATGGAAGGACAGTTACAGGACAAATCCCCATAAGATAACATTCGTAGGCATTGATTTACTACTAATAATAGCTGACATTTATACAATACTCTAAGGCTTTCATAGAGTTTTATATCCCTTATCACATTTGAACCTAACAACAACCAGATGAGGTGGTTATTACAAGTATTTTCACCATCTTTCTCACCCCTCCCATCTCCCACCATGAGGTGATGGAGATCTATTATTTCAACAATATATCAAATTTGTGGTATGGAAACTATCTCTGCTGATGCAGAATATCAACTCATTTTATAATTTTATAATTCCCTCATTAGATTGTGAGCTTTTTGAAGGCAGGGACTGTCTTTTGCCCGTTTTTGTATTTCCAGTGTTTACCTCAGCACAGTGCCTGGAACAGTAGGCATTTAATAAATGTTTATTGATTGACAATCTCAGAGTTACCTAGGGACACTTCAGTGGTTAAGTGATCTGTCCAGGGTCACACAGCTAGTACACATCAAAAACAACTCGAATCTAGGTCTTTCTGATTCCAAAGCTAGCTCTTTATCCACCATATCACATTGCCTCTCATCCCACGAAACTCATTGTCAGAATTTCAGTAACATGTCCAGAGTCATTCATATAACTTGTAATAATTAGAGGTAGAATTAAAACCTAGGTTTTTTTTTTACTCCAAAGCCAACACTCTTAAAATGTTAAATCTTAGGAATTCAGAAGGTTTATAGGACAAATGCTTATAACTATTGAGATCCAGTTGGTTGTTCCATTATTTCTACTTTGACAGGCTAAACCTGCCGTTCACTTTGAAACATTAGGAGACATTCATTGCCCAGGCACACCATTTGATCCACTTTCTTCTTCCTACCTTCTCCCTCCTCTATAAAATGTGATTATGAAAGAGATAGTCCTTTTTCAGTCTACTTACACTAAAACTACATCATAATAAATGTATTTTTTTTCTTCATATGTCACTGTGAGCAAAAATCCCAAAACAGATATTTTCTTTTAAACACTCTAAAAGCCTGTGACTGAGGATTAGAGGTATATGGGAAACCAGGAATCAGGACAAAAATCAGAGGAAAAAAAATATTTCACTGATTCCTATCATGAGGCTAAATTTGAAGACCAGTCATAATTTCAGAAAAGATACAATAGTGCAGTATAACAAACATTTTATAAGCATTGAACCTATAACTTGACACTCTGCTAGTGGAAACACAATATTTAAATAGACCAGGTTATCTGGCCTCATGGAGCTTATAGTCTAGTAGGGAGATAAACTACTAACACAGATAGCTGTCTCCTTTGTCCTTCTGTTAACTGCTAAATAAACAAATGTCGGGTAAAAGGGAAGCATCAGGCCTTCCTGTCTCAAATATTGTTGTTTAGTCCTTTTTTGTTTTTTTAGTTGTGAGCCCTTTTGGGGTTTTCTTGGCAAAGAAAACCAGTTCATTTTACAGATGAGGAAACTGAGGCAAACAGGGTTAAGTGACTTGCCCAGTGTTACCCAACAACAACAATCCCAGGTAAAATGCAAACATTGTGCCTTTCCTTTCCTGTCTCACTATCTACCCCCTCAATCTGTTCAAGTGATATTTAGACTCAGGCCACCAAAGAAAACTTTTGTTGTTCTACGTGATAAGACACAACCAAGTCTGGCCTTCTGCTAACTTCTTTCCCAGGAAATGCAAGGTTTCTGTAAGGTTTCTGCATTTGCTTCTAATATATTTATTAAAAGGAAAGCGATAGGAGAACTGAATTCTCTTTGGGCTTGCACTTATGGAACTGAATGCTTGAGGGGGAATAAGTAAGAACTCTGTCCAAGAGAGGAGAGAAAAGGGAGGAAAGGGCTTTATCTTGGCAGCTCCTGCCTTTTATCAATGTTATTGATCATCAGAGAGATTTCAAAATAGAAAATTGGCTCCAAACAGAGAGAGGACCCCATTGGACTTCAGAAATTCAAAACGCCCCTGTACTCCCAAAGACCTTTAAAAGCAAATAAAAAACTCTCAAAGCCTCCGGGACCAAATAAAATTCAAAACCCAGCAATAAGGCATAGAGGAAATCCCATGAAAGACTGCACTAGTTAACACAGAAAACTAGGTCCCTGAAATCAATTCCTCTATCTAGCTGACTGGCCTAGCCTAGGCTAACTGAGTTCTGAAGGACAAAAGAAGGGGAAGGGGAAAAGGGGTGGGGGAGAAGGAAAGCTGAGGAAGTTATTCTTTAATTCAAAGCAAACATTCCCACCCCCACTCCCTGTAGCTAGATTTGGTTATTTATTAAATAAGTTTTTTCCTTGATGCACAGTGAAACTTGCCAGTGCTCTCATGGCAGATAATATATGCATTGAGTTACTCACCCAGCAGGGATCCCCCACCCACATTTCCAGGTCTCTCTGGGCTGTTCTAATATATACTGTCTCAGAGTACTACTATCCCAACTTCTAGCTACTTAAGGCAGCCTGGTTATTATTTATGAATATTATCATTTTATAAGCCTCAACTGCTCTCAGGAAGGTGCTGTCTAGAATATTTAAGCACGGCCCCTCTGGGCCTTGATGGTATCTAGCCTTGTTACAGCTTACATTTTCATAAAGATGTCTTCCTCACCCCTCTAATTGGTTTGCTCATACCACATCATGTCTGACAGCAAATATCGAAATGAAATGAAAACAGCAGAAAACCAGAGACTCTCATCCAAACAAGAGGGATTTGTGTACTGCAATCAATCTTGTCCCAAATCACGCTGGCTCTAGATATCAAGAACCCGAAGAAATACAGGATTGTCTTGGTTAAATAAGTAAAAAATAATAATAAAAAAAAAAAAGCCCACAGACAGCGATGGGGAAGGGCAAGGGAAAATGCTTTTAGAATTCTCTATCCACTTTCTAGCCACCAATAACTACCCAAGAGTGGAATCTTCTGTCAATGTGTTTAAGGTCATACCTGTGGTTCACCAAATAATTGCATGGTTGACCTGAAAAGAAAAGCCCTCAATGTATTTGTTTTCATCCTGGGATCTTTGTTTGTTTATTTTAGTAAAATGCTTATTTTGCAAGAGGCTATGTCTCTTCCCCTCAAGAAGCCAGTCAGTTGGATCACAGCTACAACAGACTCTATGCATAATCACAACAACTTCATGAGTCCTGAACCTGGAGGTAGAAAATCTGGGTTCAAGACCTGACTCTTCCATGAGAGCTCTAAATCGGTGGGTATTTAACCTAAGCATCTATTTCCTTATTTGTAAAATAGGAATAATAATTCTTTAATTCTCTTCTGTCAGAATTTTTGTCAAGAAAACACTTCACAAACTATAAATAAACAAGTGCGAGCGTGATCTATTATCATAGTACAAAGGCAACAATGACCATTTGGAACAACTTCCTTCAATGCCCTTATCTCCTATTGTCCCACCATTCAGTTTCCTTTCTATTGAAAAGGCTATCCTCCAGGGTAATGCATATGAAACTACAGGGCGGGGATATATCTGAAATAACACATAGACTTAATCATTGCAACTTTATGCAAGTCCGGTTCCTTATCTCTAAAATGGTTTTATACTCAAAGAAGATATCTGGAAAATTCTATGATTGACTCCAGTTCCAAATTACTACGATGACATAGTCTTCTTCCCTCAAGAGATTTTGCAAGCTAGAAAAGGTCCACTGAAAAGGACAACTAAATTCACCAAGAGAGATCTACTTGTATGAAAAAGAAAAAAAAAGGTGATAGGGGAGATAAACTCCCAAGAAGCAAGTTTCCATCTGGAAAGAAGACCAAAGCTTGTAAAAGTCACAAAAGATGTAACCGAGTGATAATATTACTGTTCACCATGTCTCGGAAGACTAACTAGGCCTTATGCTCCCTTATAGCTTGCTGGTAGCAGTCTGAGATAAATTTAAAAATTGTCTACAGTGGGAAGAAGCGTTAGAGGTCATCTAGTCCAACTCCTTCATTTTACAGATGAGGAAACTGAGGTCCAGAAATATTAAAGGACTTGCATGAAGTCACCACACAGGTAGTGACTACAGAGCTTGAATTGGAACTCAGACCCCATGACTCTTTCGAGTTTATTCGGCATTTCAGATTCAGAACTCATTCCTCTAACTCACTTGTGGCCTCTTACATGGTTGTTGGAAGAG